CTGGTTCAAGACCTGGCTACTCCACTTCCAATCTAGCTCTCTGCTATGGCCTGGGATAGCAGTGGAAGATGGTCCAAGTCCTTGGGCCCTTGCAACCGTGTGGGAGACCCGGAAGAAGCTCCTGGCTCCGGATCGGCCCAGCTCCTGCCATTGTGAGCATCTGGGGAGGGAACCAGCAGATGGAAGACCTTTCTCTTTTTCTCTCTTTCTCTCTGCCTCTCTGTAACTCTACCTCTCAAAAATAAATAAATAAATATTTAAAAATAAATAAATATTTCCTGAGTAAACCTATGTGCCAGGGACTGTTTCCTAGTCTTTAAAGCACAAGACAACTTACTTCTCAGTGGATTTTCCCCCATCCTTTTCTGTAAACCTGAAAATGAAACAAACAAACCAAGGAAAATAAAGAATCTACTTACCTAGCATTTAGGTGATCTTATTTAACTGGAATACAAATCATTCTTGAACACAAATTATAGAGTTACCTACCTTCTGTCTTCAAATAATGGATTGTGGTATACCACAGAGAATGCTTGTATTTTTACATGTGATTATGTTGAGCATGATCTGATATGGTAGTTCCAAATCCAGTGAGTTCTTCGTATGACTCCACTTTTCTTTTTTTTTTTTTTTTCCCTACTTTTCTTCATAGGACTTACCACTACGTAAGCCTAGCAGTGCAGAGGTGACTGGCACAGCTGACATTTTGACCCAAATAATTCTTTGTTGTGAGGAGTTGTCCTGTGCATTGCAGGATGTTTAGCAGTATCTGTGGCCCTTACCCTCTAGATGCCAACGGTACCCGCCCTCCCAGCTGTGACCAGAAATATCTTCAAACATTGTCAAGTATGGGGAAAGAGAGCAAATGTGACCCCTGTTGAGAATTACCACTTTAGAGAAATACCTGAGAGAGGAAGAATGCTTATAGACCAAAGAAGAGGCCAGATAAACAATGATCTCCCTTTCATAACTGTTGATTTATCATTTAAGAAACATCCAAGTACATCTTGAGGCTACCAGTATACCACCATCTTAAAGTCAAATGCCCTTGATCTAAATTCAGATCATGGAAGAGAAGTCCTACTAATACAAACTCACAAAGAACACTAATCTTTCCTCCAGCTTCCACTTCAAAGAGCACCAAGGTCATCTTTTTTTGTTGATTACCTAGCATGATCCCAGAAGTTCTGAAAAATATTTGAGTACCTACTATGTATGTGCCAGATACATTTGGAGGTGTCAAAGATTCCTATATCAACTGTATTTACTGGATTGAGAAATCACTCTTATAAATAGCATTGAACAGGTAAATCTTCGTGATCCTGAATTTGGCTAAGGATTCATAGATGTAACACCAAAAGTATGAGCAACAAAATAAAAAAATAGGTCAACTGAGCTTCATCAAAATAAAAAACTCTTGTACTTCAAACACCACCAAGAAAGTCAAAAGATAATCCATAGGAGAAAATACTTGCAAACCATATATCTGATAGGAGACTTGTATCCAAAATATATAAAGGAGACTTACAACTTAACAACAAAGACAAACAACCCAAATAAAAAATAGCCAAAGAATGTGCATTTCTTCAAAGAAGATATGCAAATGACTAAAAAACACATACAAAGATGTTCAACATCAATAATCATCAGGGAAACTCAAATCAGAATCAAATGAGATACCACTTCACATCTACGAGGTCTGCCATAATCAAAAAGTCACATAATAACTAATGTTGGCAAGGGGCTGGCGCTGTGGCATAGCAGATAAAACCTGCAGTGCCAGCATCCCATATGGACGCCAGTTCGAGTCCCAGCTGCTCCACTTCCAATCCAGCTCTCTACTATGGCCTGGGAAAGCAGCAGAAAATGGCCCAAGTCCTTGGGCCCTTGTACCCACGTGGGAAACCTGGAAGAAATTCCTGGCTCCTGGCTTCAGATTGTCCCAGCTCTAGCCATTGTGGCCATCTGGGGAGTGAACCAGTGGATGGATGACCTCTCTCTTTCTCTTTCTCTCTCTCTCTCTGTGTGTAATTCTGACTTTCAAATAAATAAATAAATCTTTATTTAAAAAAATAACTAATGTTGGCAAGGATGTGGAGAAATTGGAACTCTCACTCTTGAATAGAATGTAAAATGATGCAGATGCTTTGGAAAACAACCTGGCATTCCCAGGTATACACCTAAGAGAAACGAAAACACATTCACACAAAAACTTGTATGTGAATGCTCACAGTGCCATTATTCATAATAGCCAAAAGGCCTAACAACCCAAATGTTCACCAATAGACGAATGAATAAACAAAAGGTGACAGTCACTAAAAAGGAATGTTATTGAACCATATAAAGGAATAAAGTACTGATACAAACTACAACATGAGTGAACCTTGAAAATATTACACTGTTTGAAAGAAATCAGTTACAAAGTGATAAGCATTGTATGATCATATATATATGTATGTGCGTGCATATATATATATATACATAAAATGTTCAAAATGGATAAATATAGAGAAATGCAAAGTAGATTAGTGGTTGCTTAAGGTGGGAGGATGTAAAATATTGTGTGGAGGCGGGGAGTGGAATGACAGCTAGAGAGATGGGGCTTCTTCAGATGATAAAATATTCTAAAATTGACTGGGGTAATGGTTGCACATATCCATGAACATGCTCAAATACATACTATTTATAATATCCTAAGCCCCACTGAATTGTACACTGCAAACTCAGTGACTTTCATGTGAAATGGCTTAATAGAGCTGCCTTAAAAAAAAAAAATCAGTACTTACAGTCCAATGACAAACATGGCATTGGACCGTGGTTTAAAAATCAAAGTGTTTTATTCAAAATACCTTCACATCTGGGAGATCTCACTCTCTCGGTTGTGAATGCTATTCAAACTATTGAAAAGGCTCCAGGCAAACATTGTATTTAAGACTATGGAAACCTGGAAAGTAGAAAAAACTTAAGTGCAGGCATCAAGGAACTTCTGGAGGACATTCAGTGCCCCGATTAGCATGTATTAGGGGGCATTAAGTAATGAGACTCAAGGGGAGGAGGGGTGCAGGCAAGGAGTTAGGAGCGCCCAGGAAAACCTCAGCCTGAAGAGCTGCTTCTTCACCAGCCTGCAGTGAGGCTGAACAAACAACCTTCCTTCCAGTGCCCGGCAACCCTTAGTTTTCCAGAAGCTAAAAATGACTTCTATCAGTAACAAATGAGAAGTCACCTAAACAGTAAAGAGCCAAACAAAAGGAGATACAAGGAAATCATTTAAAAGCCAAGCCAGTTTCCAGGAATGGCTACTGGGAAGTTTCAACAACAGCAGGCGTTATGGTTTTTTTCAGGAAGAACATAAAATGATATGATCCGTGCACAGCTCATAATTCTACCACTGAGATGTTTCAACCTGTGTGGTTTGCAAGCCAAAGAGAGTCCTCTTCTGCGTTTGCCTTATGTGATCTACTGTATCCGTTCATCTGTTTGATATTGCAGAGCTCCTGATACAACCGGTCCTGGAGCCCACACTTTCCCCCATCCGAATTATCACCACTGCCAGTGACAAGGAATTGCCCGGGGTGGAGGGCGGGAGAGGGGTAATCGGGGAGATTTTTTGTTTGTTTGTTTTTTAGTCTTAATAAATCTCTGCTCCCGCCCTGGCCGTTGCAAACAGCACCAGTCACCATCACGCTGCGCCTGGGAACCTCATATAGCGCTGTGCTCCACTTTCAAAGCAAAATTAGGGCTAATGGGGGGGTAGGGGGGTAAGGTGAAAAACAACCAAAGGCAGGACTGGCTTTTCCTACAGAGCCTCAGGTTTCAAAAAGACTTCCTTGGAAGCTGAAATGACCCAGATTACAGGGGAGGAGGGGTGCAGATAGCCCGCGGCGGGGTGGCTGTGGCTTGGTGTGGGAATGGGAAACCAGACGGGGCTCTACATGTTAAGATAAAGCACGGGGAATGGTCTTTTAGTACCACCCACCTCTCCAAGTGAATCACTGCAGTATCAGCCCTGCACCGATTCCACGAATTGCCAAACAGGATGAGGTAAGCCTGGAGCCCCCTCCTCCCCGCCTCCTCCTCCCGCGCACAGAAGGGCTTATCCCTGGGCGAGGTGCACCACGCAGCCCCCCGCGGCCCTGGCTGAGGGGCTGACGTCACCCTTCTGCATTGAGCTCCAGCGGTCGGTGGCAGCGCTGGTTAGATGGGGAACAGAGTTGGGGCGCTATCGCTGTAGCCAAGCGGCGGGGGTCTTGCCCCAGCTTGCTGCGCATAGGGTTCATTCCGTGAAAGAGAGAGACCAGACGGAGCGTGTGAGGACGGAGAGGGGTAGGAAAAGGGTCCTACGACCCCGTCTCTTGGATCCCCGAGAAAGCTCAGATATGCCCCTGACTTATGTAAGACTCCCCTCGGTGCGCCTCCACGCGGTGACGGCACAGGCTCCCCATTAGTGCTTTTGGGGGACTCTGGTGGCCCTTGTCCAGCCTGGCAGGCAGAGGGGCTGCTCGCGCCTCTCTCCCGCAGCCTCGCGGGGTCGGCAATAACTGGGAATCTGGGATCAAACCCTGCGTTCCCGCGCCCCCTCCTAGCCGGTCACAGGTTAGCCCCAAGAGAGGCGGCGAATGGGCTGGCAAAGTAGGGTAGGAGAGGTGTACAGAGAAAAACAGACGAATAAACCCGCAACTTTCCCCTGGGACTGACCCTATCCCGCCAGCTTAAAAACGAAATCAATGCATCACAAAATTGTTGCAAAGGTCGACAACCTGCAGTCACCGCCGCCACGCAGCCCCCTGCAGACTTCGCCCGGCTGGGTCCAGGGTCCCAGCAGCCGCGACCTACACCTTGCCATCCTCCAGCCCCGACCCAGGCAACCCCGCGCCCAGCGCCGGGGGCCGAGATTCGATTTTTGGCTTGGGTTTTCCCCGCACCGCACCTTCCTTTCTAAAAGCAGCAGCACAAGGACTGATGGACGGCGACCCGGCCACTGGCCAGGCGTGAGCACTCACCCAGAAGACGAAGGAGTAGATGATGAGGAGGGTTTTGAGACAGGTTATCACAGGTTTGGTCTCCATTCTCCTCGATGCCATACTACAGAGCTCAGGCGGCGGCGGCGGCGGCTGGCGGCGTGCGTG